CTAAAAAGTAATGTCCTTTTCTGTCGCTCACACTGAACATATTTAAAAAGTTAAAAAATGTTAATATTCATAAAAATAATTGATGAATAACGTTATCTTCTGTTTTGTTTTGTAAATCATGAAAAGAATAAATGCCGCTTACGCACGCGGCTCGCTGTCCAATTGATTTACCAGTTCACCAATATTTATTAGTTTTCAGAGACGAAAACTACACCTATATAAAATATTATGGGTATGTTCCGATATACACTGCGAGCACTGCGCAGTGGTCTTACTGCTGAAAAATCCGTTCCGTTATGGACTGCCAGTACACTGCTACAGTACCCTAGGGAAATTTATGACGTCATAAATTGCCGCCATATTTGTACTGTGAGCACTGGAGATTTCGAGGTAAGGTGCTCGCAGTGCTTTTGATCACGTGATCAGTCGAAACAGAATCAGAAAATGATAAGTTTCTAAATAAACAAAAAAAAAATACTTACGTTTATTTATAAGATGGATTTAATTGATAAATTTTTTTTTTATACAATTTTCCAATTTTCTTTTGAAAAGAGGGAATCTTTATATTTATATTCACCTTGCATTAACAAATTTGAAAATGGCGCCAAAAAATAGGATTAACAGTATACTGGACTGCGTTCCGTTTTAAAAAGTCACCAGTATAACTAGCTATAAAGGAACGGGCTTCCAGTATACTAAATTGACGTTATACTGTTCAGTGGTCGCAGTGTATATCGGAACATACCCTAAGTGTTCTAATACACCTCTTCAAATTTGAGATGTATATAAAATTAACCTTGTATATCCTTACCTCTAATCAGTTTTGACATTGGTACTCTAATGGAGGGAATAACAGTAGCTCTGTATGGCGAAATGAAACGCTGGTATAATTCTTCAGTCTAGATTTTATTTGCAAAAATGTACATCAAATTACTTACAACTAAATTCTAAGATAATGTCTCTATGCCGGTCTCGATCAGAAAGAAAGATTATCCACCAGCAACACACGAACACACGAATTCGAATACAGAAAAGTAACAATTCAAAATATTAGCGGCCAGCATTGACCATAAATCATCCGGAGAGTAAACCTACGTATTGCAAGAATATACTTTCTCTAAAAAGTAAATACACCTCCATATAAGCTCATGTTTTTACCTTTAAAGAATTTACCATGAATATTTAACGCATGGAAGATTCAAATTCAGAATGCCAATAAACCGACTTTAGGATCAATTCATGAGACTTTATTTCCACCTTTTTTGTTCCTTTTATCATATACCTTTTATGGTCCATACGAAAAAGAGCGTAAACAACATTTTGTTTTATTAACCAATATAACATACTTACAATGATAAGATCCCAAATTAATTAGCTAAAACACAATATGAAATGACGAAGCATTTACTACCAGACCCGAGACAATCCATAAAAGATCGTTTTCTATATTGCACCCACCGGGAATTGACCTTGGCAGCTCAGAGATGGCAACAACTTGCAACAGGCATGAAAGCCACTCGATGATGAAAATTTTCACTGTTCCCTATAAAAATACTCGTTTTTTATTTTAGCCATATCATTACCCGACTAACGGTCATACTACTGGGGCACATACCTTCCCTATTGAGCAAATCGGGAAAAGTAGGCAAAAACTGTCATGTAACGGTGCGTCGTACCACCGACCGTTTATTTGGTCCTAGGTATCCGCATACAAACTTTTTGTCTTTCATTTTCAACATCATTTCTTTTCATTATTCACCTTTCGTAATTTGAAATTTTGAGTAATCCAATATGCCCTTTATGAATGTCAGTTCGTAAAAAATTCATCTGTTGTGAATATGATAATTTAAATATATAAATCTAATAATAATAAAGTTAATATAATTGAAATAAGAAAAATGTAAATCTAAAAGTATATTTTCGTGAATGATCTACTAAGTTTTATCTATTACGGAAAACCCAGAAACGGGGTATGTATTTGTTCTATTTAATTATTTCAATTATATTATTTTGGTAATCATACGAAATGTTTTTATATTCATTTTTCGATTGTTACAGTTTTTCTTATTACCCTAAAATAAATCAAATTTTCAGCCTTTTATTCATTTACCTAAGCATCAAACCCGTGACATACACAACCGGCTGTGCAAACCCTGTACATACTATTGTATGAAAATACCGTCTTATTTTAAAACGATGACTCCCGCACTAATAGTATGAGCTTTATTATTGCGCGCATGAAAATATAAGTAACAATTATCAAAAAAAATGTCTCTGGATCTTTTTTTTGAAAGTTAAAAAGCACTTTTATTCTATTACTAGGCTATTACGCCTTCATTATTTTATAGTGGAACAACTTACAAAGACAATTAATTGATTGAATATCTTAAAATACTCTTAATTGCCAGTGTTTAGAACAACCTCTAACCCCCTTATTATAAAACGAGAACTTAAGTTAGTACTTAGTTTAAACCATTGGCCGCCTGAAGCAAATTGACAATGACAGAAGAGAAAATGTCAAATTGAGAGATGATAACTTATTTGATATCGTGGTTTAAACCCGGTACTAAAGTTAGTCCTAATTTTATAATAAGACGAAGCGTCTAGTTCTGGACATAGTCTTAGCTTATGATCCAAAAAAATAAAACACATAACTTCTTAAATCAGATTTATTATCACTTAAAATAAATAAATTAAAGAATAAACAACCTAGTTAGAGCCACTCGGAACCCCTGAATATTCATTTAAGGCCGGTATCCACCGTATAATTGGCTACTGGAAACAAATTATACGGGAAATAAATATAATTCCTCGGCCGAAAGTCCCGGAGTCCCGGAGAGTTAGCAGTCCGGCTCTAGATAATTTATGCTAAGGTTTAATACGAGTATAAACATTGCGGAACTCTTTAACCTTTTATACTTCCACCTGTTAATTTTGATACTTATAGGATACGATATTTTTTTTTATTATAGAAGCACAAGTGAATTTAATCTATTTTAATGCTCAATTAGTCAAAACTGGCTTTGAAAGGGTTAAGAGTATTTTAATAGATTATTATTTTTTTTTTTAATTTCAGATTCTTCAAAATGTCATGTAATTAAATTAGTATTTAATGTGCGTGAAAATACTAAAATAATTAAGTATATTAGAGAAATCAGAATTGCTATTCTTTGTTAAGAGCTATACAGATAATCTGGTAGCCTCAAAATGTCTCGATATTTCTGTATTTCAGATTGTTTTTTATATCTTTTGGACTGATAATAATAAATAGATTGTTAACTGTTTAAGTTTTTAACCATAAAGAGCCATTTTTCTTCAAAAACTACTACAGATCTATTTAAAATACTTCCAAAAAAAAAAGAATGTTGGGTGCATTATCCCCAAATGATCTATGTTGCAAAGGTAAAAAAAAAAAATAGTTGAAATACTAAGATAAAAACGACTTTACGATTAAAATATACAATTTCATCATAAAGTTACAGCAAAGCTAGTTAAGAACTTTTTATTTAAAGATATAATGCAAAAGGAAAATATTTTAAAAAGAGATTAAATAAATAATGTCTCTTAATAGAAAATAAATTAGATGCCTTTTCACTCGAATAAAGTAACCTAAAAGACAGTGAAGAATAGTTTTTATAGGAAATGAATAATTTGTTCATGCCAACTGAAAGTAATTAAATTAAATGCGAGTTACTTCAGCTTTATCAAAAGCAAAAAGAAATTTGAAAGAAATTTTTAAAAAAGAAATTTGTTTTTTGTCCTTTCTTTATATAATGAATGATAGAAACATAAATAATTTATATAATTATTTAGACAAAAAGCCTTGAATAATTAAAATGGAAAATTATAAAAAGCACATTCTTATAAAAAGATAAAACAAATAGCTCAAGGAATAAACTAGATTCTAAACAGTCATGTGTCACGAAACAGACGAGTTCTCACAAAACTACTTTGCTCTAATGAACTCAATCTCGAACTCGACGTCGAGTACAACGCTGTGTTCTACATCGAGTGCGAAGATGATTTTTTACAGAACTACACCGCAGAGCTACCGGAGCATTAATGAAACTGTCTTATTTATTAAACACTAGTGACCGTTTTTCCATTTATGCTTAGCCAATGTTTTCTCTTACAGAAATACTTGAAATACCGAAACTTTTCAATGGCAGCGCCAGACATGTAACAGCACAATTTGAACGAGTGATCACATATGTAGTACGGGTTTTAGATACACGAATGCACTTTGCGAGTGCACGAGTGACTTTTAAAGCACATCAAAGGGACCAGCTGTCAAATGTTTGTTGGCGTGCCACACTTGCAAAGCCCATTGCAAACTGTGAGCTGAAAGAAGTGACGTGTTTGAACACATAGATGACAGATACAAACAATTTATGTATGATCAGATATGTAAGCAAAGACTTTTAAAGAAGTGATTACTTTGTTGTGCACATGTCTGTTTCGGACACAAAACTTAAAACGTTTGATAATGTAACAATTCTATATCACGTCATAACTCGCCAATCCTATGATTTGTAAGTGCTAGTAAACTGAATTAGTAATGTTTAATCATAAAAGTTGAGCAACGACCGAGTATTTAAACTAAAGTGTACTTAAAAAGTTATCTTATTTATCTACACATAAATTCGTGTTTTACTTATTCCATTTCATTAGGCGGTATATCCATTTACCATCGAATTTGTATCTGAACATAAGTCTTAAACATTAGTAGCTATAAAATCTATTTGATGCATTTAAAAATATATCTTACATTCTTCCACTTTCTGAACACCGATAAAATCACATAGAGATATTTTTTATCGTCGAACAAAAGTAAATTAGACTATAACATTAAGACAATAAATAACAAACTCGTTAGAATAATACGAGTTGATAACAGCGGGCATTTTATCAACAGCTATACCAATGCTGAATAAATAAGTTTGACAAACTATAGTTAGCCTTAAAGTCGGCCATACACAGTGAGACTTTAGAGATGGATGTTATAGCTGACAGTCGTTTCGTTTTGCATTGTCGGGCCAATCGCAAACGTTAAGTTTTACGTTGAAAACGGTGCCTGGTTGGCATTTGAACTGCATAGCTTCGCCGTTGACACATCGCCAGTACTAAAACGATAACAATATTCATTAAGAATGATTTCAGTTTCTAATAGTTATCATCAAAAATATGTTTCGTTTGTACAAACTTTGATTTCAGTATTTTTCAAAAAGATAGAATACAAATTATTATTTACTTTTAAATCTGTAAGACAGAGAGATATAGTATCGAAGTAAACACCCTTAACTGGGTACTACTTAGATATTTTTATGTACTTTAAGTGAAATTCAAAAAGATTAACCAACCTTATCACAAGCCTTTTTATCTGGAACATAATCGTCCTCTGAAGTGCAGATATCCGGATTTTCAATTTCATTTTCCTATGAACGAAGAAATTACTTAAGTACGACAAAAAAAAGTAAATCACTCCATTAAATAATTTCAGTTATTACTTTGCAGGAAATTTGTTTCCCTTTTGTTTCTTGTATTGATTAAACAAGTACTGGCGAATACCTTCTATTATTTCAAAACGTTATGGGTCGAAAAATTGGCGAATTTTCTAGTAAGATAACATTCAATTTGCACCCTGTAAGAAAATAATGTACTTACCGCTGGTGGCGGCTCAACGTCAGGTATTTCTGGCGCAGCGGATGCCGCTGTTTGACTAGTTGCACTATCTGTGACGTTGGTCGGCACTTGTGTGGTCGTTTTTACTGAAGTAGTGGGCTTCGTGGTAGTGGTGGTCGTAGTAGGGACGGGTTCCCCTTCTGAAGGGTCCGAAGGCGTCGACGGAGGCCGCGCCCACTCCGGCTGTAGATAAAATCAAAATGAATAATGACCAGCAATTTGTTGAGGCGATTTATTGCTATTCCACTCGCTGTTTCGGCAGTGATGAGTAATAGACTAAGTTGGGAGTAATACGCACTTTTGTGTGTGAGAAAAATATATTCTGTCGGAATTTAGTTCAGAATACACTGTTTTATTTCGTTGATAATGAAGGTACTTTAATTAAATAGTGTTAATTTATTTTGTTTCTAAACCAGCTCATTGACTCGTAGTACTTAAGGTAATATAGAATAACGTTTCTTAAGTAACCTAACTGAGAATGTTGCCCGAGAGCTTAATTATGAAAATACTCGGAGGTCATCAAGACTGACTAAACGATCTGACTCACCGTGGGAGTAGTGTGACCAGTTCTCGCCGGAGGAACAGTATACGAACTCATATGCTTGTGTAACAGTTTCATCAACGCGTTCTTTTCGCCACAGAGTCCTTGGAAGTCATCCATGTCTATAGCCCAGGTCATAGCACCTAAGTAACCCTTCTCTTTGATCCAGTTCATTTTGATCTCGACACTCTTCGGGTCTTCGTAGCCCACCCACTGTGTGCCTTTGTAAGCATAAGGGCATTTGCCATGCTCGTCCCACTTCTTGGTCCATCCGGATTCTTCACTGTCAACTTCTGTGCAAATCTAAAGTAGAAATATAATAAAATAAAATGACTATATGTAAATATTACAGTACATGAAACTTAATAGATATCAAACTAAACAACCAAAGTATTTGTAAGAGGCAAATTGGAAACATTGGCTGTGCTTTCATAACCAGATATCGAATAAAATAATAAAGACCTATTCCTCATGTGTTTTTTAATTTTTTTATTGCATTCAACTTATAAATTTGATAAGAATCTACGATTTCGAAGGTTAGCATCTTTCCTCAAAGGAATTATCAGATGGATGTTTAAATTTTAATATTTCCATTTCATTTTTCGGAAAGCATATTAAGCCATTAGTCTTATTACTTAGTACCTATAAATGCAAATTGTATCTGTATGTTATATATCCGTATGGCAAACCTTAACCTCAACAATAAAAAAATAAATTATCCACATATACAACAATAAAAGAATAATTATCTAATAATCCGACTAATTCTCTGATAACCCTTTTTTTGTTTTGTTCTTGTTACATATAATATTCAATATGCATGTAGCAGAATCGAAACTTATCTCTCTGTTCATATCCTCACCTCATAATAAGCCCAGAATCCTGTTGCGTTGGTGTATGGTGCGGGATCACCACCACCAGCCTCCTTGTTGATGTAAGTACCGAGACCGTAGTTGTTATTACCAGCAGACAGAGTAAAAGAACGCCCGTAGAATGGTATACCAACTACCAGCTTGTTGGAAGGACAGCCTTTGTCTTCCCATAATTGAAGTCCATCGTTCTAAAATAAAGGGTAAATAAGACAAAAAACTTCAGATCGAGTAATATTTGGGCCAAGAGCCTACCATGAGCTCTTGGGTGCCACGAAATTGCGACTATTCCACTTGCGCCACTGCTACTACGGTCTCGGTAAGACTTGTGTAACATACAATGTTCAAGAAGAGTCAGGGGCGAAAATGAAAGCAATAATGGTTCTGCTTTATATATTATTATGGATTAAATAAGTCCACTGAAAGACGGTATCAGGAATGGAATGTTATACTTTAACATTTTTAATTAACATCATTCTTTAACAGATATCTGCAAATTAATAAAACATGTTACTTGTAATTGATGTTGGTCGCTTCTTAAAATATTTATATCGGGGAAACATGCTGTAGCTAAACTTCCACAAATACATAACCAAGAAAATGTACATGATTTAAATAGTTAATTAACAATACAATATAAATATTAGGCAAGTGCCTAAAGCACTCGCGTAATGGAGTATCCGAAACAATGATCGTAACATAATATCAAAACCGAGACAGTATAGAAAAGTTAATTTTCTTCGTTAATCCGACACGGAATAGAGGATCTCATAGATGAAGACATTCAAACTGGCGTGTATGACACTTAGCTACGGAATACATACCACATTCAATTTCTCATAGGCCCACTGGTCATGTGGTCGCTTATACAGCGGTGAATGCACATCCGCAAAACCAGCCCAGTTACCACGCAAATCGTAAGACATCACGTGAATAGCATCCAGCTCCCTGACAAGTAAAAAAAAAAACACGACATAGTGATCTATCCTTGTAATAATGTTTATTTTTAAGTGCAAGAAATTTTGTAGCATATCTCGAACCTAACGTAAACAAATTAATTCAGATCATTTGTAGGCCGGAACATGATATTCATGTAGTTACGTGGTAGGCCTTATGGTCTTGATCACCACTGGAAAGCATTGGATGAAATTCTCATCGCGCGGGACAAATAGTCGTGGGGATTTTTATGGAAGGCCTTTATCTAGTAATGGTCATTAATTGGTTAAAATGGAAAATAAAATATTTAGAAAACATAACTTACTGGCAAAGTTCCGGCACATGGTAGCCCTCCATCAGCCTGAAGTTTGCGAGGGGTACTGCGACAGTCAGCTCCCAACCCTTGCCAACCCTGATGAAAGCTCTTCTCAACTCTTGCACGAAATACAAGAACTTGTCTTTGTCAGTGAAGGAGCCACCACGGTCTGCAGCACCAGGGTACTCCCAATCGAGGTCAAGACCATCAAAGTTGTATTTCTTGAGGAAATCTGTTACAAAAGATTGTTTATTTTAACTATTTCTGTGCTATCCATATTTAATAGATATTAGTGGGTATTGTATTTCCACTCAATAAAAACTTTTCTCAAATTTCAATGAATTTTTATAAGAACAACTGAATTATTACAGCCATTCTTAAAAGAGACAGTCTCATTGAAAGAGGTTCACGTAAACCAATGAGGAAAACGACGATTATTGGTCTTTTTAACAGAAGTAACTTCGGTTTGCCAGCAACCGATGGGCTGACCAACTAAAGCCAACAGTTAGAGATACTCTACACAAATGCTCTAGAATGCATAGCTTTAAATCTGACTTATCTCGAATTAGGTAATATCAATTATACCGAAAATTCTAACTCTCCAGGTGAATATTCTAATATTCGAAGCGATTCTAACTGAAAGTTATTTCTACCTTTAAATTAAAAAAGAACAATCGACTTATGTGTGAATTCGTTAGAGAAACTCCCATTTGTTACTTTTAATTGGACATTCCATTCGCTTTGAATTATCTGAATTAGTCACAAATGTTAACCGGCCGGGGCGTTTATTTAAAATTCCTTACGCATTCTTCTTATACAGATGGGGTATGTAACAATCAAAGGTCGAATCAGGGACCAGCAAACATTTTATAACGAAAAAACAATTAATTCTGATTTAACAACCCATTACATGGACATTAAATGCCAATATCGAAAACATTTGTTTTTAAAGAAAAAAAATAATTCCGAAACCTGTATTTTTGCAATAATATGTTTTTCAGCAACAAAATTTAATGTCTTAAAACTACCGCTTTTACAAAGGAAAAGAAAAACCCTTAGAGAAAATGTTTTTATTGTTTATGTATTTCAAGGCAAAGATTTGTAACCTACACAGCCACTCCTGTAATATATAGGTATTTTTGTTTTCAATAAAACTTTGATATCCGACGTTTCCATGTTTCTTTTGGAGGCGATCCAAAAATATTACATAGACAAGTCGAGAATAAAGAGATCTTTCGGAGTTACCGCACTAAAATCACAGATCAAAAACATTAATGTTCGAACAGATGGAATAAAAACAAGTTAATTTTTAAAATCTATCCAATTGTTTTATCGATTATTTATGAATTATTATATCTACTTACTGCCAGTTACTGCCAGGACTTCCAATTGTATAAAAATATAATATAATTAATAAAGCATTTGCTTACTGAATATCAAACAAGAAAAAAGTATAGTATTTGACATTCAAACTCTAATAAGGGTTTAAAAGAGCAAAACCTACGAACATCACAAACTTACAACAGCAGACTGCAATATCTCCAAGTGAAAAGTATGTAAATTTATTAAAATAAACGACCTTTACTATGAAGTATAAGATATAATTAAATTTGTATTATGTTAACCTGCGTAACATCAGCCATTTTTGGTGAGGTCCCTATTATTATTAAACATCTAAAATAATATTATAGGACCTACATATATACCTTCCATCTGTTTTCGTCAGAAACCTATCTCTTGCTTTTGCCCCTAGTTATATAGTTACTTCTATGGCGAACATATATACAAACTCACATTCCCGATTTCAACCCCCTTTTCACAATGAAATGTAAACTTGGTCCTGTCCTAAGGTCAACCATATTTCATTAAATTACGGTAATATATTTTTATTGAATGTAAATAACCAAGAAAGTTAAAAAAAAATAGCTTCATTTGTTTAAGTGTGAACGTGCAACTGACAAAAAGAGTTAGTTTATAATATAAGAAGGAATTATGACAGGGAACGTCTTTGTTACCTATTTATTATGTAATGATTTTAATTATTGTAAGGAGTTATTATTTTAATAACATGTAATCGCAGTTCTTTAGAACCTTATGTAATTTGGAAGTGAAATAATATAATGAAGTCTAACATGATTGTGTTACAAAATTTATTTAGTTTATTTAACAATGGCTTCGTCACGGCTAGAATGTGAAGATAATACGAACGTTATATAATTAATTCCACTTCGCCTTTAGCAATCTAGACTGAGGTTCTAAGTTGGTAGAATAGTCAGTAGAGCTAGACATGCAAATTATAACATCCATAGCTTGAAGATTTATCTAAATGTTTGATTTGCTAATTATTTTGTATTCACAATGCTATACTGATAAATAACTTTAGTAAAATGCTTAAAAACTCCACCAGTCCCAAGTAGCTCGAATGGACTCCACATTCCGAAATCCAGGCGACTGCTCTAAGCTTTGATCACCCAATAATCAACTGGACTCAGGAATTTTTCAAGCACTTGTTACTTTTCGCAACTAGTGAGCGTATTTTCATCAGCGCTCAGGTAACCCCCCCAAAGCCGAAAGTAATATTCTTTCAAATATTTTAAACTTTCGATAAAGGTAATAATTTGTTCTATGTTTGATTTGCTGTTCCTGATAGATTTCTATCAACATTTGAAAATGCCAGGTGCTGGATAGTATTACGGTCTTGGAAATCATCATAACATAAACTGGTATACTATTTATACATATTGCTGACAAAATAATTCACAAGTGCTTTGTAACAGCCTAGACTGAATAAATAATTTTGATTTGATTTGATTTTTGACAATAATCTACTGTCACTAAACATTTTGCTAATCCTTTTTAATGCAAACTTATAACAAATAACAACTTTTCCAAACCAGAGTGAATATAAATTGCTGTGTAGGCATGTTCAGTCTTGTCATGTCTTAGGCCCATTTACTTGCCATCAGGCCGGCGGATGGCCAAATGCCAACTCAGTCTTATACAGAAAAAATTGATAGATAAAACTTTGATCAATAAATGCGCAAGTCCAACTTACCAACAACGCTTCTGACGAAGGTCATTCTAGATCTCTTCTCCGCGACCATTTTAGAGTACTTAGAACCTCCTTCAGCCCAGCCTCCCACGGCAACCATAAACTTGACGTTAGGATGCGACGACCGTAAGGAAGTGAAATTCTTAAAACCGTTCTTTTCGACGTCCAACTAAACAGAAAATTATCCATTATTATTCCGCTAAACGTGAAACTAAGGGTTGACACACATTCAACGGAAGTTGCGTTTCATTAGGACAGTCAAAATAAATAAAGTAGGTGTAAAATATAATATTAATATGATTTTATTTATTCAAATGTTTCATTCGGTTATTCATAATAGTTCCTGTGTAAGTATTGACTTTATACTCTACTCATTACAAACATTCTAACTTGCCAAAATTCAGCATTTAATTTTTATCCGTATCCGAAAATTATTAATTAATTTTTGTTATTCCAAATCAAACAACTCTAATTTTCTATAATATTCACCTCAGGATCAATGACGAGCACCTCATTGGTGGTATTTGTGACGCCGATGAAGGAGTAAATGATGTGCGTGCATAGATCAACTGGAATATCTTCAATGCCGTATCTGCCAACACCCGGCCTGTAGACCGCCCAATTGCTGAAGTAACATACTGTGCGCGCTTTGCTGTCCGCTGGAAAAAAAGAGACCATTATTTGAACATAACCTTCATAAAATTTCGCCACATATATCATGATTTTTTTTTAAATTCTCAGAGTTCATCCCAAACATTTCAAATTTAATGATGATATGAGAGGTATATAGCATAATCTAGAAATGGATACCTACAGTTTTCTCCACCATCTTTAGTTAATATGAAACTGGTTTTTCACAAAGGTATATGAATTTTTTGTTTCACCGCAATAGATATATATTTTTGTGATGAGAAATTAAGTAAATATAATTTGCTTGATTTCACTTCGAACATCTCCGTCTTCCGAAGGTACTTTTGTCTGATAATTACATGCGCATCTGCAGTAGATTTCTCCCCACTATGTGAGGCTTGCTTAGAGAGTCATAGCGCGTCATCACTATAGATTTTACGCATTTGAATAGACTGTGCTACAATAATAATAACTGTCTGATATTAGAAGCCATTGGATTCCTTACGTAACACGGCACAGACTAAAAATAATTAGAAAATATCTGCCAAAAATGCTTTATTCTATTATTTAATAATTGGCAAATGTTATAGCGCTACTGAATTGCTATTTTAATTGTACAGGTTCAAACCATTTACACACATTAAATCTAAAAGATTCTTAGAGCCAATGCCAGCAACAGCTCGCCAGCATGCAATTTAGTTTTGTAATAAAAGCCCCTGCTTTAAATTAACTTTCAATGCCAAATCATTTATTATATCAGAAATACACATAAATGACTGTGTAGATAGATATTTCTTATATATTTTTTTCATTAAATGTTAATTAAATAAAACCATCCAACGTCATCTATATACAGCTGAAAAGATTAGAACCGTGACACCTTAATTACTCAACGCCGAGTCTACTCAGCCTAATAGAAAATATAGTGATTTTCTTTTATTCTCTCTCACATTCACGAACAAAATTAATACTTTTATGTTTGAAAATAAACAATGTCACGTCGTAAACTTGCAAACTGTTTACTCACCACATACCGCAAGTTGTTTGCAATCATTTCAATACTATCATTTACAGTTATACTCGTACAAAGATTTTAATTTTTGCAGTTATATTTGTTCTAAGTACTTTTCCTTTTTAAAATTTGCTGTCCTCAAAAATTTATTTACGGAATTCAGACACAACAATATGATCTTATTGTTACTTTAATCTGTCAGATAAAATTTGAAAGGGATTTAATATGAGAGCGATAGCAAATATTTTTTTTATTCTCTTGATACAAAAGTTATTCTGTATCGTGTGCAATAAAGTTTATGTTGTTAGAGACTATGGCTTTCCCTTTATATTACTTTTCTCTTTGCTATGGCTGGAGTTGTAGGTAGAGGAGTTAAGTGATTGCTCTGCTATATTATAAACAGTTTGGATATGTTATATGTATTTGTGAACTTACATTCAGCGGTAGTTCCGACTGCTAGGACAGCCAACGTCACAAGTAGTAAACGCATTTTGTACCTGAAAACAAAAGAAGCAATGATTGTATTAAAAGTATAATTGGCTTAGCTTCTATAAGAGCTAAGAGGGTTCTAACTAGCATATTAATCAATGACCTACCAATCCGTGTCTACAAAATTATTACAAGTCACATTATCGCTTCGATAAGTATAGGTAAGTATTATAGAAAAAATCAATAATTATAATAGTTAAAGTTTCTAACTTTGTTTGTAACGGATAATCTTTGGAAATACTAAAATTGGTATCAAGCAAAATACAACAATTAGATATCAATCATTATAAATTTACTATTAAAATTTACTTAAGCCTAAGTACTAAGCATTAAAAAGCTCATTATAAGATATCTTATTATATAACAGATAAAAGTGCTTAAACTTCAGGTGTTCCATCAATTAGTTAAATGTTTTTTTTTTTCTAAACTCGTAATATATCAAAATTATCATGTATAATATAGGCAACATGATAAAGTCATCGTTGTAAGATAAGAGGTTTTTTTTCTATTTTGTTGATATTGTAATGTAAAGTGACTTCATATCGATGGTGAAATAGAAAGGCCGTATCTCATTAAAAGGTCGTAACTAGACTGAGCTTGAGGTAATAATTAGAAATACGACATCTGAAAATTTATGTTTTAAAAAAGCAAAAGTTTCACAGTTACTAAATAAATACATAGTGTATTTACAGATACGCCTTTTTTAGTTAAGTTTTCAAATGACAATAATAATCTCTTAGGATACTATAGTTCGAGAGTAACTAAAATCAATGTGATATCACCTGAGTTAATATTTTATAAATTAGGTGGTTACATGCTTCTGCACTGTTACTTATTCCAGATATGGTAATATGTGTATATATGTATTTATATATGTAGTTTATATACAATAGATGTATGCGATTATTATTATATAATATCATATTTATATAAATATTTATTGTAGGTATGTAATTTGTGTGTTTTTATATTCATTGTTGCATTTAATTGTATATTGTTGTTCACATGTAGGGTCAGCGGTTCAACAGTTAGCCACTCGGACACAATTAACCACACTCATATTTCGTAAACGCGACGTTGCCATTTCGTGCAGTCACGTGTTTTAGACCTCTAAATAGCCCCTCCCCCCTATTCCCAGTTTGCAGCGAGCTTGCGCCGACGTCGCTTGTGTTAGATCAAATTTTGTGTTTTTTAATGGAAAAAGTTGAAAAAAAAACGTGAGTATTATTTCTCTTCATTTCTTTTTGTGTATTATTACTAAAATCATTATGTGTCGTTTGTGTGGACTCACTAAACGTGCTTTATTTAATATATGCAAAATGTATGTACTAACACGCGTTCAAAAGTGAGGCTAGCGTAACGACTTCGGGAAGAGGGTGTTCTACAATTAACCAAAATGCTTTGTTCAACAGTTAACCACGGTTAATTGTGTACTACCTATGGTTAATTGTGTACTAACAATGATTAATTGTGTACTCGTATTATTTATTATGTATTGTGAGTTTTTTTTTTGTAGTATTATAGATGGGACGTACTAAACAACCTGAAAGAAAAAAAGGAGGGCATTCGGGTGAAATCATGAAGGAGGCAATAGAATTGGTCCAAGGTGGGATGAGCATAAGAAAGGCTAGTGAAAAATGCCAACTTAGTTACCCGACAGTTCGACTATATATGAAAAGGTTTAACGAAAATGCTGGACAAACCATACGATTCACACCAAACTATGAAGTCAATAAAGTTTTCGCAACAGAAGAAGAAGATGAAATAGTAAATTATATTGAATATTGCGCTGAATTATTTTATGGCCTCTCTTGTAAAGACTGTCGACGCATTGCATATCAACTTGCCAAAATAAATAATATCAATATTCACCAATCTTGGAACGATAATCAAATGGCGGGAGTTGAATGGCTCCGTTCATTTAGAAAAAGACATCCTCAAATTTCCCTGAGAAAACCAGAAGCTTGTAGCTTAGCAAGGGCGACTGCTTTCAACAAGCACAACGTTGATTCCTTTTTCCGTAATTTAAAATCTGTCATGGAAAGGCATCCTAGCTTCGCAGATGGTACTAGACTGTATAATTTAGACGAAACTTCTACCACTACCGTTCAGCGACCAGGCAAAGTATTAGCAAGGAAGGGCACTAACGTAGCAAAGATTACAAGCGGTGAAAGGGGTACCCTAGTCACAACCTGTTGCATTGTTTGCGCGATCGGACAAGCTATACCACCAGCTATGGTATTTCCTAGAAAAAATTTCAAGCAACATATGCTGCATGGGGCGCCACCGGGTACGTTGGGTTTGGCTGCGTCCTCTGGCTGGATGAATGCTGACATTTTCGTAGATGTCATGAGACATTTCATTAAGCATGTTTCAGCTTCTAAAGAAAATCCTGCACTTTTATTGATGGACAACCATGAAAGTCATCTTTCGATTGAAGCTCTCAATCTTGCAAAATCTTCAGGTGTCACTGTTTTGACCGTTCACCCACATACAACTGCAAAGCTCCAACCACTCGATGTTGGACTAAATGGTCCGTTTAAGACATATTATAATGCAGCGGTAGATTCGTGGCTGTTGCGAAATCCAGGGCAAGCTCTAACTATTTACAATGTTGCCGAGTGTGTCGGTTCTGCGTATTTAAAAGCCATGACTCCTGTCAATATAATAAATGCATTCAAGAAATGTGGCATATTTCCATTCGATGATTCTTGTTTTACAGAGGCTGATTTTTTGCCTAGCACAGTTACTGATAGGACCCTCATACCACCTTCAACTACAGAAGACCCAGAGCAATCGGAAAATATAGCGCCAAGTTTTAATGCTTCTCAAAATAATTCTAGTTTGCAGATGAGTTCTACCAACCAAAATAATATGTCACCAGCGGTACAGGACCTCGACCTATCGCCTAGTATTATAACGAGCCAAGACAATATTGAGCAGATGCCACCTCACTTATTAGAGTCTCCCAGCGTACCGGTTTTATCTCCAAAAGTTTTGGAAAGCAGTGAACCTACTCCTTCCACGAGTAGAGGCTTCATTTCACCAAAGGATTTCTTGCCTCCAATTAAAGTGAAACCTCGTTCCATGAAAAGACGCAGAGTTCCAGGAAAAAGTATGATTGCGACAGATACCCCCGAGAAAGATGCTATTGCTAAAAAGAAGAAAAAAGACAACAAAAAGCAGATTGATAGAGCAAAACAAGATTTATTGAAATGCGATAATAAAATACACGAGAAGTCTAACAAGGGTAACAAAAATACACACGATATAGGTAATGATGATACATCAGATGAAGAACAATTTATTGCCAGTGGGTCATCATCTGGTGGTGAAGAATGTCTCAGTGAAAATGATGATGGAGATGGGGTAATAGTATTAGATGAAGACTTCTTACCAATAACTCGAGATCCAAAAGAGAATGAATTCATTCTAGTGGTATTTCCATTGAAGAAAACAAATGTTTATTACGTTGCAAAAATATTAGAAAAGATTGATGACGACGAGGAAGATTCGGATTTTTTCGTAAGTTGTTTAAGACTGAAAAATAGAACGCGTCAAACATTTTACGAGCCAATCGTTCCAGATACAACAGGCGTACAGGTACGGGATATTAAATATATACTACCAGATCCAAGAATTACAGGCAGCAGCCGAAGGCAAATTTCTATTTCATTTGATGTTCATTTCGACATGACGAAGTTGAATTTGCGCTAAAGATTTAGATTTCAGTGTTAGGTAGTTAACTACCTTTTTTTTCTTATCCATCTTTGATTTAATTGTTTAATGTTTTGGTTTTTTTTTTAACTGTTTACGCCAAAAAATTATAGCTGGCAGCCAAAGGAAAACTTCTTTTCTTATTTAATGTTTATTTCGATATATTATTTACTTACCTATGGGACTTAATAGATATTTATATCTCATTATAATTAGGTATGAGTTACCAATTTTTTTGATCTCATTAATTAGGTAGAAGTTACCTTTTTTTTATCTATCTTTAATTATTGTTAAATGTTTTTTAGTTAAGACATAAATTGTTTTTATCTTACGTCATAAGACTGACTACGTGCTATAAACAATAAGCAAGTTTTAATGAGACTAAATTGATGTCTCTAATTATGTCAGGATTAGCAGATGTGTCCAGCATTATAATAATTTAAGTATTAGGTATAGGTACATAAGTATATTTTAAGAAGTTCGAAACGTACTATAATTATAATGAATAAATACTTTTAAAACTTAAAAATGTTATTTTGTTACATTGCAGATTGTTGATTTTATAGACCCGTAAAATTGTTGTAATAATTATAAAAATAAATATTTTATCTCAATTTTGATTTGTTCTTAATAAGTAGAAGGTTTATTTCTCAGCACATGGTGTTATTTATTTATTTACCGTAAGCGGTTAATTGTGTACTACCATGGTTAATTGTTGCAACCCCCCCCGGCTAATAGTGTACTATAGGGTGGACACAATTAGCCAATTCCCATTTTTTTTAAAAAACTTTATTAAATCAAATTTCACACAAAAATAAGACATTCATATATGCCAATATGTAGCTAATGAACCTAGGCAATGACCAGAATAAAAAACCGGTTGTTTTGAATGAGTGATTACGAGAGGCGATGGTTTGAATTTTATGCGGTTAACTGTTCAACAACTCACCCTACACCCCCGTCTCCGTTATAATGACTATCTCTTTCTCCGTCCAAAGTTTGCCTGGAAGAAATCGCTTTAAGCGATAAGGCCGCCAATTGTTTGCATTTTTAATTAAGTTTAATTTATGTTTGTTTCTGTAAATAGTGTAATGTCAACAATAAAGAGTTATCTATATAATAAGCCACGACAAGTTATTTAATTTACTGTAATAATAAGTTGTTTGTATTGTTTGAGTTCCAATACAGTCTTTATTACGGAAACAGACAAAATACTGAATATATTTACAACCCAAAAGTAGAATATTTAAAGGAAATGTCCCATAAGTAAGTTTCAAATCAATC